TAGATATCAAAGGAGCCCTTAATGATTAGTGACAGAATGAAGCTTCATTCATTCAACACTTGCTATGTGCTAGGCATTTTATTAAGTTCTGAGAGTATGGTGGTAAACAAGATACAGCCAGTCCCAGCCTTCACAGATTCAAGAGTACAGTAGGAAACAGGAATGAGCAATTCTACCATCTGGTAAGAGCTACGGAAGGGAAAAGTGCAGGGTGTTATGGAATCACACAGTGGTGTGCTTAGGAGGAGAGGGGTTTGACAAAAGGTGGAATAACCTCTATGCTGTGACTTGAAGGATGAGCAGGAGGTAGTGTTCACAGAACATTTGAAGGCCAAAATCAAGAGGAAGTGGCAAGAGATGAACTTAAAGAGGTAAGCAAAATTAAGGCCTTAAACCATAAGAAGTTTGAACATTATCTTGTGGGCAATGATCAGAAAACCACCTAATGGTTTTAAGAATGGTGCTGATGTGATTTACTCTAGTAGTGACAAAATGGATTGAAGGAAAATGAAAAAGTAGCAGTTAGTTATTCAGATGGGAAATGATAGCAGTGGGAACGAAGTAATCATCTATTGAAGACGTATTTATGATGTGGAATTTTCTGGATGTGTTTATAGATTAGATATGAAGAATACGAGAGAAGTAAAAAGTTAGAGAAGACATCAAGTTTTTGGCCTGGAAAATTAGATGGGGCACATTAATTAATTAACAAGGGGCATTCTTAGGAGAAAGAGGAGCCTGAATGTGAAATACTTGTGAGATAACGAAGATTCCCTTTAAGTTGGGCCTCATGAGAGATCTGGGCTAGAGACAAGAAATTAGGGTGCCACCAGTATTTAAGTGCTAAGCGAAGCTGCTGAAAGGCAAGCAAGCGTCCAGGGAATATGCGGAGTATAAGCCAACAATGCTTATGATAGAAATGTGATGTTCACTAAAAGGAAGCAGTAAAAGAGCCTGGTTAAGACCAAGGATCAATGAGGGAGATATCAGGATACTGGGGGGAAAAAATTAGAAAAATGTAGTATCTCAGAAGCAACAGGAAAAGTTATGATATTAAGAGCACAATGTCAGCTGAGCATGGTAGCTCATGCCTGTAATCCCAGCACTTTGGGAGGCTGAGGTGGGTGGATGGCTTGAGGTCAGGAGTTTCAGACCAGTCTGGGCAACAGAGCAAGATCCTGTCTCTACAAAAAAAAAAAGAAATAGAAAAATTAGCTAGGAATGGTAGTGGGCACCTGTAGTCCCAGCTACTCGAGAGGCTGAGATAGGAAGATCACTTGGGCCCAGGAATTTGAGGCTGCAGTGAGGCAGTGAGCTATGATCGTGCCACTGCACTTTAGCCTGGGTGACAGAGAGAGAACCATCTCTTTAAAAAAAAAAAAAAAAAAAAAAGCACAGCGTGATGTGGCTGGGCATGGTGGCCCACGCCTGTAATACCAGTGCTTTGGGGCCAGGAGTTAGAGACCAGCTTGGGCACATAGCAAGACCCTGTCTACAAAAAAATTTAAAAATTAGCCAGGCATGGTGGTACATGGCTGTACTCCTAGCTACTCCAGAGGCCAAAGTGGGAGGGCCACTCTGAGCCCAAGAGTTTGTGGTTACAGTGAGCTATGGTTAAGCCACTGCAATCCTGCTTGGGCAACAGAGTGCCCAAGTGCATAATGCCAGAGTGAGGCATTATCTCTATTAAGGGGGAAAAAAAAAGAACACTGTGAAGTAATTCCGAGGATCAAGTAAGATAAAGAGTGAAAGATGTTCACTAGGTTTAATTAGATTGGGATGTCATTGTTGACCCTGATTTTTTAAAAAAATGACTAGAAACAGATCCTCTGGGCAAGAATGATTTCATTTCAAAGAAAATGACTAATGACAGCAGGTTACTCAGTCCTTGATTTCTTTACTAAAATGTTTAGGTATGTCTTCCCTTTCCTATTCTAGAGCACTGGCTTAGATTAGTGGTTCCTAACCATTTCATGTGGGATAACCCCTGTGTAATGTTAAAAAACCTTGAACACTAGAATGACTGTTATTTTTTTATCATCAGATTAAAAAATAATTCGATAAAAAGTTTCTATAAAGTCAATAATGATTTTAAATAAATGCCTTTTTTTTTTTTTTAAATCACAGATTGCTTGAAAAAAGAAGTATCTAAGACATTTGTGCAGCCAGGATATCATGCCTGGTGTATATGTGCCAGGGTCCCTTGTGATAACTAAAGCCCACAGACTGAGAAGCACTATGGATTAAGATCTTCAAAGAACTCTTCCAGTTAAAAAAAAAATCTATAATTCTTCAAGTTTAAAACAAAATTACTGAAGCAAAATAGCACATCACAATAGATTTTATAATGGCTCAAAATAGAATATGATTTAATACATTAAGTACCTCAAGCTCAGATGCTATCAACTGAGTAGATGCTTTTCTTTAGTAATACCCTAAAACTCCCGTTAATTAAAACAAATATGAATATCCCTTGCATTTGCTTTACAAGTTTTGCTGTCTCAGAAAAAAGATAATTGGATACAGTCTATGTTGCACATGAAAATCTCAAATCCAATAGACAAAAGCCTAGTAATTCTATCAGTTCATTTTACATTGAGGTAAACATAAGCTAAAAGTCAAAAACCACTGATTTTCCATTCTATTTGCTAACATCAAACCCTGAACAGACAATATTTGTCCTTTCCTTCATTCCCTTAAAAATTATAGCTATTGCTCAGGTGAAGAAAGAACAGTTAGGACATCAGGATTTTGCCAGTTTTTCCACCAGCTGAAACACATGGTTCCCTACTTACAAAACCTACTGAGGTTGCCAATTCAAAGGGACTATTTAAATAAACAGCAATTTCTCCAGCCACAGATAATAAATTACAATTAGTGATCAGTTGTTATTTTTAGATTGTTTAATAATAACTCTAAAGACTAGACTACAAAAAAGGGACAAAATAGTCTTTTAATATTTATTGGTCATCAACAGTTAAGAAACACATTTCCATTAAAAAAATGGAAAAGATATTCTTATTCTGGCTTTCCTAAAGAACAATGTAGTCATTCAGAGTTTACAGGTGTAAGCCCACAAATTCCATAAGAGAGCAATGGTATGTGTATGTGCCTTGCCCAGTTTTATTTTGGGTCAAAAATAAGAAATCATTTTAAAGCAGTTCAAGTTACAAAAAGAATTCAATCTTAAAGTCTAATTTTTAACCGCAGTCAAGTGAATAAACACCGTGAAATCCAAAAATCATCAGTATTGACCCAGACGATGCTGAAAAACTGAAAAAAGGAATTAGGGAAATCTAAAATCTGAAAGGGACTTTGCAAAATTCTATCAAATACTAGTGGTACAGAATCCCTGGGATGAGGTGGGGTGGTTGAAACTACAATGAAATGTCAAAATCTAGTTTCATGTATAGAAACTATTTTTAATGATTATAGAACTGAACTTTTATGTATCTTTCATTCACCCACTATTCTTCCATGATTAAAATTAACTTAACAAATGAAATAGGAAATGACCAGAGAATTTCAGATATACGAAGATGACATGACACATGTGATAACTAATTCAAAGAATCCTCTTGACAGCCACTCTCATTAGCAGCACTCAGAATCATCAATTTTTAGTGCTACAAGAAATAAGAGAGATCTAATATTTTAATCCTCTTAATCTACAGGGATGATGCTAAGGTCAAGGAGATAAAATGACTTTCACAAAGTGACAGTGCTATAAATATAATAAATATAAAGCATACACCTCCTAGTTCTCAGTCCACATGTTCTTCTGCCATTCTGTAACGCGTATTTTCTATATTGAGAAAATAGCTGATGTTTCACCCTCCCATAGGAAAGTTCATATGGCTTTCTCATGGCCTAGCACAATGCCTCACACACTGTAGGCACTAAACTACAGTAGCTCATTTCTACATCAAAACTCCCTTTAAAACTAATTTGACTACCCAGCAAAAATGTCTTCAACCTGAACAGTATAAAGTGGAAATGACTTACATATGTACAGAAGTGTATATAAACTTGCAATTGTATAAAAACACATGCAAGTTTGTATATACCCATATAGATACACACATACAAACTTGTATACCACTGGGAGTTATCTGACCAACTATAAATATATAGGTATATAACTGGGAGTTACTTGACCAAAGGTTTCTCTGAACTCTGATGCGACCATTGTACAACTCTAGACCCAAATAAAACCTTCCACACCACTCAATCCCAGTATTGTTAAATGCAGCCAGGCCAATTCTCTGCACAGCTGTCAGATACCAAAAGGATTTAATAGTCAGTTCAACGAAACCACACAAAGCAGTTCACGAGATACTCCAATGCTTGGCCTGAGATCAGAGAATCTATCATGCATGTTGGGCTTGGTCATGCATATTTTCAAGTGAAACAGAAAAATGAATTTAAGATGCTAGCCAAAAAGTTTAAGAACCCACTCCCATAAATGAAAAAAACAAATGCCACCGAACACCATTTTACACTTTAGAACCTATCTAGGTTTTTTTTTTTTTCGCTTTTGTCAACCAACCGTCACTTAGTTGCCCATGCCCCCTCTACTCCAAAAAGGGGGAGTGGCTCGTTATTAAAGGCTCTTACCGATCAAGTTGTAGGCTTTGGAAATCACAAAAGCAATTCATATCACCACTTACAAATCGTTAATGGAATTTGGCCTTCCTTCACTTGTTAATCAAATACAATCATGACATCTGCAAATATACCTAAAACACTAGGAATAAATGCTGTGTCACTGAGAAAAAAAAGCAAGATTTTCCTGAATCCTAAAGGAAAACTGTCAAAGAATGTCGCTAACCTGTCCCCTCGGGCTACCACACTCCTTACAAAGGCAGCCAGAAGCGAGTCTCCCTAAACTCCTGTGCTTGGCAGCTTCCGTCTGATGGGAAGCCCCCTCACTGGCACAACGCATCAAGGAAAAGCTGCACCCGCCAGTTTCTACATCTATGCCCCGGACTGCTTCTCACCATTTCCAGGTGAGCACCGGGACCTTCGGGGTGTCCGCTGCCCGGGGCCGGACTGGCCCTACCCTCCGGGGTCTTCCGCTCGCTGTTGCGCTTCAAACCGCTGGCGTCACCTCGGCCTCCGGTCTCCCGGCGCCGCCGCTGTCGGTTCCACAGGTACATGGCACCCGCGCCCAGCAGCAGGGGAGCCCCGACAGCCAGCGCCAGCTGCCATCGGGGCAGGCCCCCTGTTCCCGGGCCCGCAGTCCCGCCGCCGCCGCCGCCGCCGACCCCACTCCCGGGGCTGGGTGCAGCCGCTGCGACCACCGCCGCCTCCACGGGCTTAGAGGCGGCCATGACGAGTGTCCTCCGCCACCGCCTCCCTGCCAGTCGCGGGCGCCACAGTCACCAGGAAGCGTGCGAAAAGGAGACCAGATGGAGGGAAGGAAGGCAATGATCAAGTGAGCACGCTAGGTAGCGAGCGCGGACGACAGAAAAGGGCCAGAGGTCACCGGAAGCCCAGGGCATGCCGGGCCAGACCCGACCGTCCTTCTCCTCCCCTCTTAACCGTAGAAGGAGAGGAGGAGGAAGGTAATCATTTCCGGGTTAAGGGAAAGTGTGGGTGTGAGGTGGGAGTCCTAGGAAGCCCTTTCTCTTTCCTTTCGCCCAGCTGCTGCTTGGGAGAATCACTTCTGGGGTCTTGGGCGTCCCGTGGTAGCCAATGTTGTTCCCTCCACCTTCAGGAAAGAAGGGCAGATGGCCCTCTTGCCTAATGAAGTGGAGGAGGGGCGCGTACACAGCAGGTTTTGGGTGCGCAGGCGACCAGAACCGAGAAAAAAAGCTCCGCAGCGGCACTATGAATGGGCGGGAGTGGCAGAAGAGTTGTGAAGGTTATTGGCTGGCAGGAAAGGTGGGCGGGGCGTAGGCCGAGCTGCCCAGTTTATTGGTAGATTTTGGACCCTGTTTTCCCGTTACGGCCACGTTGGCGCTTCTCCGACCTGGGCGGCCGTTAGCTCGGTTGTCTGTCCGCGTGTCGGGGAAACCAACGGATTGGAAGGACTTTTAAAGATATGTGAGGAAAGAGCTCAGAGCTGAAGATAGCCTGCTGTATCACCGAACTTCTTGTTACTACCACAGCCAGATTTTAGTTCGGACGAGTTTGAGGTTATGGGGAAGCTAGCAGATGGCGAGAAGACTAGGTGGAAATATCTCCAACTCGTAACGGCTTGAAACGGTCCCTGCGGCTCACCGTCTGCACCGATTACGAAAGCGGTGACGTCTGTGTTGAACTGTGTTCTTGAACCGAATTGGTACAAATGCGAAGCCCCAGGGTTCCCACCTGCTTCAAGGCTTCCTTAACGTATCTTGAGCTGGATTCCGCCTGACACCCCAGCCCACATCTTGCTCCTTGGAGCACCCGCGCCTTCCCCAGCGCTCTGGTCCGCCCACCCCCATGTTTTGCAGTAGCTGTCTCAGCCCTCTCGTCTTATTCCCAAATCATAATTTCAGTTCACAGATTTCATATCTCTAATAGTTTTGTCAAGTCTATTTCCCAGACTCCGCACCAGATCTCTTAGAATGTAAAAATTACCCTTGCAAAACGTTGTTGGGAATTCACGACATTTTCAAGAAGAAAATTGAAAGGAGGTAATTTATAAAGTGGCACCAAAATGGACTGATTAGAATAGAATGGCCTAATTTGAAAGAATTTCAGGATCGTTGCTTTTCTCTTTGCTTCACGTAGGTTCCTATTAGTAACTGCTTTCAGGCAATAGGGTTTCTTAGCAACAGACTGGAAAAAAAAGGACTAAAAATAATAGCAATGGAATTGAGTTAGTCGTTACAGACAATCGGCTTCTCTCCACTCCTGATCCCCCAACCCCAAAAGGCAAGTCTGCTCCTTAACGTGATCTCTGCTTTTGACTTTTAAGGACAGAAAGTTAAGATTTTTCTTTCCTGAAATTTCAGTTTTTCTGTGATCTCATGGAGAATTGTAGAATGCTAGTAATTGCAAATTATTAATAGAAACTAAGACATACTTAACATTTTCTTTTTTAAAAAAAACCTTTTATTTATTGGAATAGGCAGTAGATTATTATGGTTAAAATCCAAAACTTACAAAAGGTTTACTGTGAAATCTCGCTCCAGTCTCTGTCCCCAGCAGAGCAGTTCCCTCTCCAAAGGAAATCAATATTAGTGTTTCTTGAAACATTTTTAAAATTAACTAATATTTATCGAAAGGGCTGATTCTGTTTGGTTTATTTTTAAGATTGTCATTAATAAATAAATTCATTCTTGTTACTTTTATGCATTGTTAAACATCTCATTTCCATTTCCTAGCCTAAGTATCTCTTTTCTCCCATTTTCTCCTCCATTTTCTAACTGATAGTAGTGTAAAGCTAAATTGAAAGTGTCACTTACTGGCTTCGGGATCTTACTGACCTGTTGCATATTTTCTAACCTGTGAAATGGTGAGAACACACAGCTCCCAGGTTGCAGTAAAGATTTAATTAGATAGCATTTGAAGCTCTTCTGATGTTCATTACAAAATAGTAGACATTTGATGCTTTGGTGTTTTTCTAAATTTTAAAAGAAATAAGTAAAATACTATGTTTCCTTTCTAAAAAATTGAAGTTTTGTATATGTGAACACAGACATTTTTTTGGTAGATTAATAGAATTCAACAGAAGAAGCCTTTCTTCATCTCTTCTCTGGTCTGTATCTTAGGAGGCAGTTGAATGAGGTAGAAAGTCTGGTGGACTGGGATTTGGAAGACCTGAATTCTCATTCTAGATTTTATACTACTGGGCAATGAGTGCAACTGTGGGCAACTCTGCTTTCTATATAATGTGAGGGGTGGATTTGATTTCTAAGGCCTCTTGTTGTTTTAAAATTATATGATTCTGTCCCTTCAATTGTCATTGCTATAAGATTGGTAGGGCTGGTAGATAGCTGGTTGATTGGTGTCCAAACCTCCTAGTGAGTACACAAACATGTTTATATTAAGCACTTAACATACACTATTCTCTTTCAACTCTCTTGTGTTTTCGTTCTGTTTTTCTTCACTGAAAAATTACTGGAAAGAGTTGTCTATACCTGTTAACTTTACTTATTTAGTACTCATTTCTTCCAAAATCTGTTGTAATCTAGTTTGTGATTTTATAATTAATTTGAAACTGCTTTACAAGTCATTAAATTCATTGTTTGTTTTTGGCTGTCATATGCTTTTACTTGATACATTGTTTTCTTTGGCTTTCAGGAGACTAGAGTCTTCTGGTTCTTCTACTCTCTAACCAATCTCTATTGATCATTGCTGTCCAACATAGCTTTCTATGATGTTGGAAATGTTTTATATTTATGATGTCCAATATGGTAGCCACTAGCCACATGTGGCTATTGAGCACTTGAAATGTATTATAGCTTGTATGACTAAGTAACTACATTTTTCATTATTTAATTTTAATTGATTTAAATAGCTTCATGTGGCTATGGCTACCATATTGAACAGCATAGCTCTAGAGCTTCCTCAAGTACAGGAATTTGTAAGAATCTGTCTTTGTCTGTAATCTCTCCATTAGTAACCAAAATAAATCTCATCACTTCAGGTTCTATTTCTCTGCAGATAATCACTATCTACATATCTCTTGGCATACCTTCTCTACATCTAGCCCTGTATTTCCTAGTATTTACTGAGCAGCTTTGCTTGGATGCCTAGTTTTTGTCAAAGATATAATTCATCATCTTCCCTCCCCATTCTTTCTCTTTGTGTAATCCTTTTTTCTCATAATACCACTGTTAACTTAGTGGTCACTCATACTTGAAACCTTAGACCTTTTCAGACCTTTCTGTTTTTCAACCCTACTTACCCAAGCACATGTGATTATGCTGATATATACACACATAAATACAAAATCAAGCTGTGAAATCTTGAACAAGATCAACTTCTTTGTAATATCTTTTTTTGTATTTAGCTTCTTTTTCATGTCCTCTGCCACTTCCCTAGTTCAGATATGTGAAAACATCTATAAGTATGTATAACACATAGCAGATGCTCAATAAATACTTTCTTCCTATCTTAGTTCAGGCTAACAAAAATACCATACACTGGTAAGCTTATAAACTACGGAAATTTATTTCTCACAGTTCTGTAGGGCAGAATTTTGAAATCAGGGTGCCAGCATGATCAAGTTCTGTGAGGGCCCTCTTGTGGGTTGCAGACTGCCAATTTAGCATTGTGTCCTCACATGGTGGAAAGGGAATAGAAAGCTCTCTGGAGTCTCTTTTATAAGGGCATTAATCCCCTTTTAAGGGTTTCATCCTCATGACCTAATCACTCCCCAAAGACCCTTTCTCCTAATACTGTCACATTGGGGGTTAGGATTTCAACATATGAATTTAGGGAAAGGGGGACACAAACATTTAGTCCATAACACTTCCTTTCTTTTTTCCCTTTTACCTATTTCTTTCATCTTTCCTAAACCCTATATTTGTTTCCCAGATAGTTTCCCTGCCTCTAGTGCTTCTCTTTTATGTGTCACCCTGCCCTTTGATATCAGATTACTCTTCCTGCAGCATAACTGCAATTTCATTCTTGAGTTCAAAGACTTTTTAGACCGTCTCCACTTTCACTATAAGGTTTAATGTCTACTCCCACCCATACCTCCCCTCATGCACTTCCTCTGTCTCCTTGATTCACATTATAAACATCCGACAGTGTATAAAATTATTTATGTGACCCTCTCAATAGGATGTAAGCCCCATGAGGACAGAAACTTTGTTCATTTTGTCTTCTGAGTGCTCAGAAAATAGTTGATATGATGGTTAATTTTATGTGTCAATTTGACTGGGCCACAGGGTACCCAGATATATGGTCAAACATTATTCTGGGTGTGTCTGTGAGAATTTTTCTGATTCCTTCCTTTTTATTTTTAGTGTTTCCATTATAGGTTTTTGCTTTGCAGTTATCATTAGGCTTACAAAAAACCTCTTATCACAGGTTATTTTAAGCGGATAACAACTTAACTTTGATATCTCTCTTTCTCTCTCTCTCTCTCACACACACACACACGCACACACACAAACTACATTTTAACTCCACTTCTTCTCCCCCACGTTTTGTATTTTTGATGTCACAATTTACATCTTTTTGTATCACATAGCCCTTAACAAATTATTTGTGGTCATTATTTTTAAATAGGTTTGTCTTTTAACCTTCAAGTTAGTAGATGTAATAAGTAATTTACACATCACCATTGCAGTAGTATTGTGAATTTGTGTACCCACTTTTGCCAGTGAGTTTTATACTTTCAAATGTTTTCGTGTTACTCATTAGCATCTTTTCCTTTCAGCTTGAAAAATTCCCTTTAGCATTTCTTATAAGACAGGTCTGGTGGTGATGAACTCCTTCAGCTTTTATTAATATTAGTCTGGGAAAATCTACCTCTCATTTATAAAGGATAGATTTGCTAAGTATAGTATTCTTGGTTGGCAGTTTTTTTTCCTTCAGCACATTGAGTATATCATCCCACTCTCTTTTGGCCTGTAAGGTTTCTGCTGAGAAGTCTGATG